AGTTCAGAAAATCTCTGCTAACATAAGCTATTCACTGCTTCATCTTGGTTGCAAGAAGAACCATCACCTTAACTATAAAAATAGATCAAAATAAACATAACATATTTCGCTTACAAGAAAAAATGTCTTTTGCGGGATTAGCGTCGTCGGGTTCCTGGCTCGTCAAGCTTTCAAAAGTCTTCCTAGCGGGGTCAGTCCCAATGAATAAATCATGCCAAAATTCTATGGAGAATTCAGATATTCTTTTAGATCACATTAAAATACAATATCATAACGGTTAGTTGAACATTACTTGTTTCTAACCAAAAGCTAAAATTATATTGTTGTCCAGAAACAACTAGAAATCCTTGAACAAGAGTGTCAGGGAAGAAAGATGAGCTTGGCACTCGGTAACAGTGAGTACCCGAACCGGTTCGATCACAACTCGACTGAATTCCAGCACTTGTTGGAATTACATTACATTGTAACCAGTTGGGTGCTAATGAACCTGTTTCAAATCCTCTATTAGATAATAGTTCTACTCCAGTTGCAACGGATATGACAGAAAAATCATCAATATTTATTGTTCCGGCACTACTCAATAAAGATATTGATATTGCTCCTTGATTATATGAACCAGCTGGAATTGCATAAAGAAATGAATAATAAGTATAATTTTGAGTACCCGCTATTGTGGGTGTAGATAATTGTTGGTTTATTGGAAAATTTGTATTACAAGTAACAGATGAGACTAAAATATACTTGTGTAAACTTCTGTTATCTGTGATCCTCTGAAAATGATGAAATTGAACTTACGAGCTGATGAGCTGGTAGTTGCTACTGATGAGCTGATAGTTCCTACTGATGAGCTGGTAGTTGCTACTGATATTGCTGCTGTACCAGTTGTAGTAATGACATTGATATTTTTTGTAGAGCTTGTTGTTATTTCATCTATTCAGAGGTAAGATTAAAAAGAAATGAATTTCACCGTGTACCAAAATGTTTTCTACTTACCTTGTTTACGAAGAAGAATAACAGTTGGTACAACTGCTGAAATACTTATTACAACAAATACACAAATACAGAAACCAAATTTGAAATATTTCTTTTTACATTTGAATATAACTCTAGACAAAAACATGACAGAAACTTAGTTAGCATGATGGAAATAAATGCAACTTTTGTTAAATCAATTAACGGTAAGTGTACGGTTATACGAAAAAAATATGGCTCAGTTAAACTAGGAATTCTCTCTGATGATACTCTTCCGACTCCAATGAATTTTTGTGCAGTTGTTAATCCTATCTGCTCAGACCACATTTTCAAACTTTTACACTTTTTTTATACATCTCTGGACTCCCACTCTGCACGAAATAGTTAAATGAGAAAATGCTGAATGGCGTTACGACACTATTAAATTCGTTCATATTCGTATGATCCCATGCACTACAGAACAGTCAGTTAGGCGTCTAGGTCCCTGATTTTGTCACATCAAACCAAACTTGAAACGTGCGTTAGTTTTCGTTCGTTGTAACACTTCTAGCTGTCTGCGGGTTACCTGTAATTCTTTATACTCGACTGTACATAAGACCCTGGGCGCATTTGCGCGAACATTAGTGGAGGTAGCTAGTTATATGATTTTAAAGGTAGTATAATTATCTCTGGTGACCAAGGTTAGTAATTTGAATTCCTGTATCTCGCACATGGATAGCAAAAATCGAACAAAAAATGTTGAATTAAATACATGAATTTTATCAAATTTACCATTCACAATGTAATAGTGATCCAAATACAACAGTTGTTCAAATTTGTGAACATTTTCAAGTTGTACCATGAGATGAAAATCAAGTAATAGTTCAGTCAAAGATTGATTATCATATCGGAATTAGAAAAGTCACATTTCATGACTGACGAAAACAATATTCAAGAAATCATGTGAAGTAGAACTCTTTTAGGCTAGTCTTAAACAACGCAGATTTTTCTGAAGTTAATCCAATTGAAAGGTCAAAAGCTTCCAAAGAGATGCCAACGTGAAAGAAGAAGGAATCATGGTAAATAAAAATTTGGCTTATAGACCAGAGATCGGCACGATCCCAAAATTTCAGGTCCGACCCGGCCTGATAAAGAAAGTCAGAGGTCCGAGCCGCGCCCGAGTCCGATCCGACCTTTTCAGCTGTTGGTTTTTCCATTCTATGTATGCATTAGATAACCGGTTTATTCAGTTACATATTAGAAAAGGAAATGTTGCAACATACATCACAAACATGTTTCAAACATTTCTCTTCGTTTTCAACAATGTGCACAGGTAAAAAACGGAAAACACGATCGAAGTTTTGATATTGCAGTTAGTGCAATGTCAACTTGTGCAAACGAAGACCAAAGTATCTTCCGCAGTGTTATTCTATAATCTAAATATTTAATATTAAATTCTTCTATTTACTTTTTTGTAATATATCAGGTGATCAATGGGTGCTTTTTTGTTTTCTGTTCTTCTCCATCCAGTCGCAAGCGTCTTGAAATCTTTTCTTTAACAAAACGATGCGGCGTGAAATTCTCAACAAGCCACACCTAAACTTTAACTTCAGGACTTACTTCTATCAAGAAAACGACATAAATTATAAGAAAAGAGAAAAATAATGAAAACTTTGCAGATTTGATATTTTTTTCGAAAATGTAGCAAAAGTGAGAACGCAATTCTTTTTGTACGTTTGAATGTGCTCTTTCTCGTGGTCTATAAAAAGATCTTTTAGAGCAGATGGTGTGCTAGAGGACGAAGTTTTAAAAATATGTCAAGAATTGACAACTCGCCGTTTTCAACAATGTGCACATGCAAGAAACGGAAAACATGATCGAAGTTTTGATTTTGCGGTTAGGAAGAGAAGAGCAACCATTTCCGATCAAAACAAAACAAACTTGGTAGAAAAATCTTTTGTTTTGATGGAGTTATGGGACTTTTACTGAAAGCACTACTGCATCCAGAATTTAAAGAATTAATGAAATAATGCGTGACAACCGGACAGAAAATTATTATTTCTCCATGGGTTTTGGTGGGAAAAATTTTGAAGCGTAGTTAAAAATAGAACGAAGTCATGGCTACATAATGACTGATTCAGATTTTCTTACTTTCAAAACGTTAACACAGGAAATGATTCTTGAATTTAGAAAGTTTTCATTTTTTTCTCGTTTCCTATAATTGACGTGCTGGTATCCCACCGACAGTTTGGAAAAAAAGAGGAAAAAAGAGGATCTATAGTTTGAAAGAAAAGAGGATTTTGAAAAAAAAAGAGGAAAAGAGGAGTTCGGTTTTTTCAGGCGAAAAATGCTAACAAATATCCTCGCAAGTGTAGAAGCATGTGACGGTGGCATGAGATTCACGTTAGAATCATAAGACATGAGCCGAATCGAAGAAAAAGTAAAATAAAGAAGAAAAATACCTTCTCAAAAGGACTAATAAGAAAAAAAATATTCAATGAAGGTTTCGTTATTCAAAAAAAAGTATTCTTTTTCTATACTAGGATACTTATGAATCATATTGACCTTTTAAAATGAAAAAACTAATGAAAACAACAGAAAAATGGCAATACTTCATGTTATTCCTGCATATGTATTTTTACCATTATTTTTAAATATACTACATAGATTGGATAGGCACTTTGTTTAATACAGGTTGCTGAGATAGTTTTTTGTCTCACCTGATTGAAGAACCCGAGCTTAACGACTAGTAGAAGTCAAATGTAAAAATAAGTGATGACATGAACCACCGGATGAACCGACAATAACGAATTTGTTCGTCCATAGGTACTGTGTTCGAGGAAAAAGAGGATTTTTAGAAAAAAAGAGGAAAAAGAGGGTTTTTCCCAAAAAAGAGGCCAAAAAGAGGATTTATAAAAAAAAAGAGGAAAAAGAGGCGGAGTGGGATGCCAGGCAGTCTACAATCACGCTTTATTAAAAAAGGGTTTGATTCCATTTTAGAGTTTCGGAAAGACTGGTTTTCCAGACAACCGGATCTTCATACGGTTAAGGGCAGCTCCCATAATCATATTCGGAATCAGCATGGTTGATAACCTATAACCCACTAGATGTCGATCAAAAAGCGTTTTATCACCTCGAGAGGTTCCTGGCTTGAGCTGCTGGCAAGTTTGAACTCCCGACTCGATTTAAAAGCCTGCGGCACCTTTTGGGTTTGTTTGCAAGTGGAGTATCTTCAGGAAGGCTAGAAGTACTCAAGCTATAAGTATGAAGTTGTTTGAAGCACGTTGAGTGCCCTAAAATGGTGTGACAAAAAACACAGCGTTACGTTTGTGTTTTGCTTTTTTTACGCGACTAAAAATAGTCCGAAGAAATTTCCTTTTACCTCTGAAGAGCTCGTTTGATGCTCTACAAAATTTGTTCTACGGGTATTTCATATGGAGAACGACTTTCGCAGGAAATTAGAACTTTAGCAAGAGCACTCCGAATTTAGAATCTTTTTATGTGATAGTGTTATGCGATGAAAAAATCTTTCTCGAAGCTCCAGACTTCAACCAAAAGACTTCGTCTGTATAGAGCATACATAGAGTATGATGAGCTGCGTCGAATGGCGTTTTCTGCGAACGAACTTTCTATCTCTCAAACTTTCCGAGATAATTGAGAAAGAGTGTATCAAAAACGTAAAGAAAAAACGCGAGCAGATATACTGGACGATAATGATTATCCATCTCATATTATTCGAAAAGGAATTCGTGAAGGGTGGGTCGTTGCGAAACGATTAGAAAATCCAAACGAATAAAAGGATATAAAATCACAATCAAAGTTAAGGAATATATTTTTCACATTACCATATTTTGGAGAAGAAATGTTTGGACTAGGACAAAGAATTAAGAAGCTATGCAAACAAATGATTTCAACAGTGGATTTAAAAATTGCATATATAAAAACACTGACATTGAAAAGTATATTTTAACCAATACGAAAGGGAATAGATAGAAGGAAGAAAATGAAGAATATTGTCTATTCTATTCCTTGTACAAATTGTGATCTTAAATACTTTGGAAAAACATCTAGAGACAGAAACATTCGTACTGAAGAACACTGTTCTGATGTGCGCAGGCAAGCATCAAATTCAAAAACTGTCCAACATGTGCGTGGAAAGAAACACGTTATGAATTTTAATAATATAATTACTGTTGAACATGAAAAAAACTGGAAAAGAAAAGCGATCAAAGAAAGTCTGCTGACACATTCAGCTGGTGGAAAGAGTCTACTAAGCAATGAGTAGTACAATATGTCAATTTCAAGGTCGAATCAAATCAAAGTTGCACCAATGTTGAACAATACGATGGGTCATCGATGACCCATTGGTAGCGAACTACATGAAAAAACTACAAAAAAAGAAAAAACGTACGCTTTTACACTTAGGTTGTTATTTTATAGCAAACATATTTTTATTTGCAATTATACTGAATATTCATACAACTAAATTATATACAATACAATTATACAATTAAATTTATTTCTTCTAGATTATTGTTTAGTGTGAAAAGCTACAAAACAGTTATGTTGTATGTAACAGTCTACTAAACATTAATCGACAATAACGTGTTTCTGAAAAGTTCATGAATAAAAAATAAAAGCCGCAAAAAAAATATTTCAAATTTTCAATTCTTTTGAAAATTTTTTATTTTCTGATTGAAATATCATCACCAAAAGTTGATGGAAAAGAAAATCGTTTTTTGTCGATCGATAGCTTGTGGAATTATCTTGCTCTCAAAAGCAATCCATTTTTTCTCACATGCTTCATTATCTTTTTATAACAATTCTACGAATGGGTGATGGGTGACCCCCGTGGTAGGTAAAGGGTTAGGGCAGCACTTAGAAAAAAACTTCCTGTGGCAATTAAATAGCGGATATGTTGAAGTATATGACCTGCTATTCAAATCTTGTAAAAGTGTACTTTCGTTTTATCCCCTAAAGTCCACGTGAATGCCCATTGTGAGACGTCTGCAACGTATGTTAAATCTCTCCTTTGAGTGAAACTCGCATTTCTAACGAAAACATGAAAAAACTACAGAAACAAAAAACGTACGCTTTTACACTTAGGTTGTTATTTTATAGCAAACATATTTTTATTAGCAATTATACTGAATATTCACACAACTAAATTTATATACAATACAATTATACAATTAAATTTCTTTCTTCTAGATTATTGTTTAGTGTGAAAAACTACAAAACAGTTATGTTGTGGTCGAATGCAGAAATGCAGTTCACATTTAGAGCATGTCCATTGCGTTTTCAACCCGCATTTTTCATATTTACAACGTAATCTTGATTTTACAAATTTTGAGCAATGTTCATTACCATCATATCGTGATATACGCGGTATAGTTCTAGTTGATTCTCGTTTTTTTCTATTTGATTTAGATCGATTATTTTCATCAGTATCTGAGCCTGAATGTTGACGCTTTTGTATAGGTATTAATGGTGGTCGTTGTAAAGCTACGGATCCTTTTAATAAAGTACGAGCTATTTCTGTTTTAAATTCACACAATCGTGAATTTTCCCAATTCACATTTTGTTTACCAAGATGATTAGCCAGAAGCCAAGAATTTATTGCCATTAGATCAAACAATCTTTATGCTATACGTATATACCACTTTTTACTTCTAAATGGAATAGGATGTAATGCATATAACATGTCCACCTTGTCTACACCTCCTATATGCCTAGTGTAATCAATAATTTTTGGTGCCATAACAGAAACTTTTATTTGGTTCTTTTTATCCCAACGTAATAATGAAACCATTGAATCGATTGAAACAAAATTTGAACCCAACAGAACACGCTTAGCATCCTTCCAAGCTACTATAGCACATTGTCTATCTGCTGTTACTTGGTAATCATAATAACCACGTGGCTGTATTTTGAAATATTTGTCTGATTCTATAGGACAATTTTTTACTCGATTCGAACGTAAGGTACATGTTATACCATATTGAAGGTGCGTCATTTTTTGTATTACTGGTACAGATGCAAAGTAATTATTTACGAGAACATGCTTATCTTTTTTTTACACCATCCATAAGATCTAATACTACCATTCCAGATAAACCGTACAATTTGGTATCATCACAACGTTTTTTAATTTGATTGTTATTTGTAGTAGCTTTTGTTGTTGATCTAGTTGATATTGAAGAGGATGCTTTTGGAAGAACAGCTGGATGCGAAATCGATTTTGCTCCACCACAATACAGTACTAATTTATAAACAAAACCAGAGATGCCACAACGAACCCAAAATTTGAATCCTCGTTTTGTTGTTTTGTTTGGCGTATACTGACTTAGGGGCACTTGTTCCTTTATAGCCAACCATTTGTTCATCAAGAGATATGTTTTTTTCTTGTTCTACTATATATGAGTAACGTTCATTGAATAAATCTATTAATGGTTGAATTTTATTGACTTTTGATGAATTGAGAACATTATCATTGAAATATAATGTAAACAACAATTCTGAAATTCTGTTACGAGTTATATTATTCGTAATTAATGCTTGTTGATATAGTTGTGACCAACAATCTGATTTTGATTATAAACGTTCGACGGATGCGTAAAAAAGAAATCCAAGTAATTGAAAAAACTCACGTTCTGTCATTGGTTCTTGGTTTAAATTTATTTGTGTTCGACAAAAATTTGATGGATCGACGATATATGCTACAATACTGGGTGATAAAAACAAACGAAAATAGTCGATTGGTGATGTTAATGTGGCTGAGGAAACGTTTTTGTTTAAACCAAATTGACCATCAAATGTTGGTAAATTAGGTTCAATATTCTATTTATTCCACTTCAAATTATTCAATTTCGGTTCATCCTCTTCTTCCTCGTTATCACTATCGCAGCTATCATCGCTTAATTCCTCGGAAATTCCGCTGTATCGTTTTCATCATCACTATTGGTATCTGATATATTTGATATGGATTCGTAGTCGCCATTTCCATCGAGACTATTATCAGATGAGGTGTTTGATGTCATAATTGTTGACTAGTATATCTGAAATAAAAAAACGAACGAAATGAATAAATAATTAATAACTGAATAAAACTACACATATGCATGCAATACACATATTGATAAATTTCTCTTTTGCGAAAAATTCATATAACCATGGAACAATCATTGTTTCACAATGGAAATAATTACGTTCTGTTAGTATCAAATAAATATATTCAAATTTTAAACATAGACGTATCTGTGGCTCATACGGAAATATTATGACAAAAGGAGAAAAATAGCATAAGACGAAGATTATTTAAACTGGAATCCTAAGAATCCTAGAATCCTAAGGATATCACAACCTCACAAAGTTTTAAATGTTTGATTTGCGGCAAGACAAATTTTAATAGAAAGTTTGAGTTTGCAGCAAAAGGAAGTTCTCCATGTTATGCTTTTTTTAGATCAAAAGAAGAGAAGACTGAAAGCGGTACATTTGATCTCTATAGTTCAACTATATTTTCTTTTTTTCTTTGGTTATGCTCTAGAATTGTCATTTGATCGAATTTCTGTTCTGTAACCAAGCAACGGAAGAGAACTATAGTTGGTCGGAAAACCTAGAAAACTCGGGAAACATGTTCTAAAACAGCTTTAAATCATGAAGAATTCGGACAGACATTGTCGTTTCTTTGAAACAATCGCTTTCGTTCAACAGCACTATCTTCAATGAGAATAAACGCTACTCACTTAGCGCCTTCTATAAAAATAATTATCTTCGCAACCGTTGAGACGTCATTGATGAAACTTTCAGAAAATGTTTAACTAATAGTCGTTATTCATTATCCAAAATTTCAGCTCAATCGGTCTGGCGAAAAAAAGGTCGAGTTTTTCAGCTCTCTCATAATGCAGACTGAACAACAACAATCAAAAAACCTCCTCTTTCGAATGATGTCATATTTAAACGTGAAATTAATCGTCAGATCCGTTTTCGTAATCACAACGCTATTCTCGAAATCCACACTACCCATAGTTCATTGCTATATTCCCTTACTCATTTCTCCATGTTATGACAACTCAAACCATGTCGATCTTATCAAGAAACATACAACAACACAATTTCAGTCTCAGCTACCCCAAACAACCACACACCAATTATTTATAAAAACCTTATCCTGCCATTTAATCAAGCATTTATTACACAAACACCGCTGCTGAAACAATTATTTTCAACTGAATTTTCAATCAATCTACCCGAAAACTTAAAATCTATCCGTTTCGTTTATATACTACCAAAAAACCTGCACAATTTACTTGTCCATTCAAATTATCCGGCATCTTTCGTCACTACCCCACCTACTGTTCATCAACCTCCAACTGATCTTAACAAATGCAATACATCTCGATGATGCATGTCATTGAAACAAATACTTTTATCAGTAACAAAAACAAAAAATTGTTCTACATTCATCACAAACTCAATTATAAATCATCCAACTTAACTTATCTCATCATATGCCGTCGTTGTTATTGCCAGTGGGCCAGCACCACCATCCAATCATTACAGTGTCGCTTCAGTCATAACAGAAATTCTATCTGTTCAATAAATATTCAAATGGAAGTGGAAAAGTGATCGCACGAAAGCTTATTGATAGAGAAAAGCATATCAACTTAAAAATCTTCTATCTTTTGACAGAAGAATTTTAAATAAAAATCTTCTGTTAACAAGGAATAAAGATGCTGCACGGAGTTATCGAATGGTATAAAGTAATGTTTTTATTTTTCTTCCTTCAGGGATAATGGCATTATAAATTTTTTGTCTTCCGTCGTACGAACACTTTTTCTACTAACTATAGATCGGAGCGATCTAGTGAATGGGAAAATACGCATACCAAATCGAACAAGGTGCCTAGATCATATCTCCCAAACATTCCCGGTGAGTCGACCTTTTTTGTCGATTCCAGTCATTACGTCAGCTCTCTCCGTCATAATACAGTTTTACTTAGGGCATACCAAAAGTAGTGAGGGAGGTACTTTATTTTCTTATAGAAAGCTTCAAAAAAATTTCTTTTTCTATGAACAGATAGAGCATCTTTCGTTCTATTTTTCTATGCTATTATATCAATATTCAACTAATGTTATAATAATAAAATTGCGATAGGATCAGTTTCTTTCGCATATGTGCTGGTAGCATGAACATGAACGCTCGTGAGTATTTTTTGAATAACTTTTGATAGCAACAAGACAGAGAACTGCGGTTTTCACCGTTCGAAAGAAGAAATGAAGACGCATCGAATCATACATTACTGATTTTTCTAACCTGATTTTTGCAAAGTTTTTATTTGACCTTTTAAAGGACAGACATATCCTGCAAGTTGTTTACAGTGAATTTTCAATAATCAGACTCACATTCAAACCGCTAATCGAAAATCTACAAACTGCGAAAGATTCAGACGTTTAAATTTAATTATTTGGGGATAGTACGTTTTTTACACGAACCTCTACTACGATTTTCTATCAACTTTTTTGTTTTTCCTTTTTTTCATGAACAAACGTTTTTCCGACGGTTAGAAAATTGAATAAAAACACTTCGGAAATCATATTAAAAAAATCAGTAGTATACAGTTCGATGCGTCATTCATGCGACCAGCACATATGCGAAAGAAACTGATCTTATCGCAATTTTATTATTATAACATTAGTTGAATATTGATATAATAGCATAGAAAAATAGAGCGAAAGACGCTCTGTCTGTTCACAGAAAAAGAAATTTTTTTGAAACTTTCCATAAGAAAATAAAGTACCTTCCTCACTACTTTTGGTATGCCCTAAGTACATCAATGTCAGATATAATTTTTTTTTCCTTCGTGATTAGCATGGATTCACTTGCTAGGCACATTGCGACTCACAAAGGAGCATAAAATGAGCACATATGCTCACAAACCGAAAATAAAGTGATAAAATGATCATTTTATTCACATATAGTCACTTTTTCATTCTGTTTTCTCTCGCAGACCGACGTCGTTATATAGGTGTTCGTATGTATCTGTAGGAGCTAGGACCATGTGGGATAGAAGCGGATCCGTTTATGACAGTGCTCTGCATGACTCACGCATTTTAGTACACTGCTGTACATACACTGCTAGGTTGCAAAACTCTCCTATTCATTTTGCTATCTCTTTTGGGATTTTTCCCTTCCAACGCATCTCAACAAATATATCGCATGATTTTATGATGTCGTGGAAAGATTGTAATTGCGGCAACTCCAATTTTGTTCCAAGTTTAATGAAGCAATGTCAACATTAGGGTTGTTTCAAGACTACATGACATATGCCCACCTTTACTTTACAATGCCTCTGTGTCATATAAAAAACATTGGCAACAAGCATCCATTCCAACTTTATGTTATTGTAGTTATTCATGGTTTATAGTGTATTAATGGTATTTTAGGTATTTATGGTAAATCTTAGACTTCAAATAATATTTTGCGAACCATCGTTCAGATTAGATCGGCACTGTCTTGCATATCTATATCGTCGTTATCATGCAGATCTTTTTATTTTATATACGTTGAATGCAGAGATACAAAAATGAAGGATCGGAGCGTTGCTGTCTTAACGCTCTACACACA